TCAAGACATTCAGATTAAGAATAACTGCTATAGGGACGCCTGGGTGGCTCAGTTGGTTGGACGACTGCTTTCGGCTCAGGTCATGATCCCGGAGTCCCGGGATCGAGTCCCGCATCGGGCTCCCAGCTCCATGGGGAGTCCGCTTCTCCCTCTGACCTTCTCCTCGCTCATGCTCTCTCTCATTGCCTCTCTCTCAAATAAATAAATAAAATCTTTAAAAAAAAAAAAAAAAAGAATAACTGCTATAAATCACTTGACCCAAATCAGGTGGCAGATATTTCTGTTTCCAAAATGACTAGAATTAGAAAGACTGACAATAACAAGTGTTGATGAAGGTGTGGAGTAACCCCAAGTCTCATAAGTTGCTGGTGGGAAACCAGCATTTATCCAAGCGGGATGAAAACACTTGTCAGAAAAAGACTTGCACAAGAATGTTTAAGGCAGAGCAATCCACAATAGACCCAAACTGGAAGTGACAGAACCAAGTGTCCACCAGTAAGAGAAAGGAAAAAGTATGACATCTGCACATAATGGGATAATACTTAGCAATAAAAAGGAGAAAACTAGTAAATTGCCCTGTCAAAATCATCACCTTGAATGAAACAAGAGTATATTCTATAGAACATTTAGAACAGGCAGAACTAATCTGTAGTGATAGAAAACAGAAGCACAACTGCCTCTGCAAAGAGCAAATATTGACCAGAAAGGGACACAAAAGAACTCTCCAGGTGAGAGAAACAGCCTATATTTTGATTTGGCAATGGTTACATTTGTCAAAACCCACAAATTTGTCTGATTTGTTCATTTCAGATCTATATGTTTTTCTGTATGTACAATATATCTCATTTACAGAAATTGTACTTCTACATTGGCCAGAAATATCAAAGCATAATTATCTTCTATACATTATGGTTTCATTTTGGGGACCATTTTTCAGAAACCTAAGACTTTTAAACAGTCTATGATTCCAGCAGAGGTGTCGCCGACATCTTAACACGACATTCGTGTGTCATTCTACAAGGGTGTTACATTCACTATTATATTATATATAATATATTGTATATTATATACATATCAGTTGTTATTATATTCACAATAATTACATTATCCAATATATATTGGATATACAATATCCAATATTGTATATCCTCAGCATCACTGTGGCTCTTTATATTCATTAGTTGGCTTAAATCTCACTTTTTAAAAATGTGCAGTTCGAATATTTAACAGATGAGAATCAAGGTCCAGGTTGATCAAATTTCTTGCCTGAGTCCACACAGCTAATGAGTGATGTCACCAGGACTCAAACCCTGATCCTGAACCCACACTCTTTCCTCTCCAATAAACCACACACACACACACACACACACACACACACACGCCTGAATCACAATTCATAGCTCTTTCCATTCTTTTATCCTTTTATCATGAATCTGTGATAACAGTTCTTCCTGTGAAATTTTTTAAAATAAATAAATGAAGCCTTTATACAGCACTCTACAGCCCATGGAAAGTTTTAAATCATTGCCTGATTCGTCCTGCCTGGCTCTCATTCTCAAATCTGTGTTTGCTTTGGAATCTAGAGACTGAAATAATCCACGGAAAGCAAATGAAAGAGGCCACAGAGCATTTGTTGGCCGGAGGACAAAGGGGGGTGTTTCCCTCACTTTGTTTAAGTGTTAAAACAAAACTGTCCATTATTCTACACACTGAATTACTTACTGTCAGCATCATAGAGGGGAAGCATACACATTGATTGCATTTCAAATATAAAGTTGATAGCAATTAGTGAACGGAAGAGAGTGTCTATAACCACTGTCTGCTCTTTCAAGCCATGGTCCTTAAGACATGGTTTCTTATTGAATTTTTCACTCTCATTAGTGGTATTTAACAGTGAATTTCTAGATACTCAAGTCCAAACCAAGGCCAAGATTATTTAATTCTGAACTGTTAGAAACCCTCAAGAAACCACCCAAAAATGCCCCCAAAAGTTCACACATGACCCACATGTATATAGTGAGATTAATATCCCTCAGAAATGCCTTATTAGGGGCGCCTGGGTGGCTCAGTGGGTTAAAGCCTCGGCCTCTGGCTCGGGTCATGATCCCAGGGTTCTGGGATCGAGCTCCACATCGGACTCTCTGCTTAGCGGGAGCCTGTTTCCCCCGCTCTCTCTGCCTGCCTCTCTGCCTACTTGTGATCTCTGTCTGTCAAATAAATAAATAGAAAATCTTTAAAAAAAAAAAAAGAAAGAAAGAAAAGAAGAAATGCCTCATTAATGTCAGAATAATTCACTTACACCTTTTCCTGGCAAAACATAACCTTCTATGTGAGAGAATAATATTGCAGAGGTACCAAGACTAAAACAAGCTGAATAGCTACTAATCAGATGACCAGCTGATTAACTGATTAAGAAAAAAGAAAATATTATTACTATTGGAAAAGCCGGGTTCTGGTCCAATATACTTTCAATGCTACTGAAAATCATTTTGTGTCATCCACAGAAAGCCTTCACATATTTGATCAATGAAATGAGAAACTGGTTTCCAAACTGGTTTTCAGTCCTAATCCTGTTTTCCATGAAAAATAGTTTGTACTTTAAAGAGCTCAGGATGATAATGCCTTTGGAAAAATTCAATTCCATGGCTGGCTTGTTATTATAGATACAAACCATCTTAGATGTCAGCTACAAGCTCAAGCATCTTATTCCTCTCTCTGGCTTATGGAGCAAGGAAATAATAATAAAAGCATCTCCCCTGATCTTATAACCTGAGCTCTGACTAGCCATGAATATGATTCCCAGCACTATAAATAGTCTTATGAATCTTGCCTTCCTAAAAGACTGAACTTTTCCACTTTCTTAGATATTAGCAATAAAAGTACCATGTATAAATGTCCTTAAGATTTGGGCAAGGCTGTCACAAGATTCAAAATATGCAGTCCCTATGGACGGTTAAAGGCAGTGAAGCAATCCCAGGAGTGCCCAAGGAATAAAGAGGAAAGGCTCAGAATAATAGGGGTAAGGCAGAATCAAGAAAATATCCCGGGTTTTTAAATGTGTGATTTTTGTTGTACAGGCAGTTTCTAATAGAGTAATTCAAACCAAAGTGTTTTTTGATCTTTGGTTCTCCTTAGGGAAACATGCACAGCAGCAAAGATCATAGAAAAGGCAATGGGCAGGGGGCTTGGATAAAAAAGGCTTCAATCCCGGTTTCATTCTTCCTAGCACACAGACTTCGGCAATAAAAACAAACTGATAATAATAATAGCGAACAGTTAATGAAGCTTACAGGGAGCCAGACCCTGGTCAAGGTGTTGTAAGTGTATTAACTCATTTAATTCTATGATGTAGTGAAGTATTCAGAAGGATAGGTTCTGAGCTACAGTGCTCGATTCTTTCAAAACTTCCATTTACTAGCTATGTGATCCTGGACAAGCTGCTCTTCTGGAGAATCTTCATACAATGGCATCCACCTCCTGGACTGCTTATGAGAATTAGTGAGCTAATACTTAGGTTAAGCACAGAAAACAGTGTGTGTTTGGCACAAAGCAGACAATCAACGTTTGCTATTGTTACTCCCACTTAACATTTGGGGAACTGAGACACAGAAAGCCTATTTGCTGAAGATACGATGATTGATACCTAACAAATGAACCTGTAATATTTGGCCTTTGTAAATAATTGATACATGTTAGCTATTTTTCATCCTACAACAAAGAGGGTCACTGTGAAAACAACTCTCTAGTTATTCGAAATTGTGCTTTGTCTAAACTGAACACGAAGAGTTCCAAGTGTAGATTTCTAATACAAAACATTTAAGTAGCCGTCAATTATTATCTTACCCTTCTTCTTGCATTCCTGATCATAAATCCAAAGCACATCAATAAATTATGCAGACTGAATGGAGATCTACATTCTGCATTAACTATTATACTAAGGCACCTTTCCAGCAACAATTAGTGTACTGATCTATAAAATGGGCAACCCAAACTGACCCCCCACAACCCCCCAACAGCAGGGCACTTTCAGGGTGAATTCTCCACTCTCCAGATCCTGGCCTCTACTAGTTAGACAGCCTTAGTTACTTGACACTGAAAAGAGAACACAGCCATTTCTTTGGGACAAATTCCCCTTAACCAAGTTTATCACCAAAACCCACACACAAAACCAGAATGCCAAATGATTAATTACAAGGATATATAACACACCAAGCAGATCTGAGATTAGATCAGTTTATGGTTGTATTCACTCCCTGTGAACAATCTGCATGGAAACTGGATTATAATTAGAAGGTTACTTGATTAACACAGAACCAGTAAGAAGACGGATTATGCCATCTCCAGTGTACTCAGAACTGACGAGTTCATATTAGGGCTTGATGGGTCCAGTCCTTTGCTCTGCAGATGGCCCCTCCCAGACATAATTTAGTTTACCCTTCCTCTCAGGCTAGTTAATCCCCTTTCTGAAGGACTCATTCTTTCTTCATCTCTGAGAACAACTTCAAGCCTGTTATAGTCAAAGCCTTGGGGCCTAGAAGCTATCCTATCCTTTCAGGTAATCTGCCTCTTTTTATGTCTGTTTCACAATTTCACTCTCTTAGAAAGCAATTTCCTTTCCAAAGTTCAAAGCACATAGGCAGGTACCTCCCTATTTCTCCAAAATACTAGCATTAAGATAATTGCCTAGCACAAAATAAATCCTCCCAAAATGTAATGCCTTTCTTACGCCTCCTTCTCATAGGTCAGCAAGAGTTTTACCTCCCCGTGTGGCAGGTAAATGCTTTCATGGGTACCCAGACAGATCTAAGGGTCAGTTCTTTCATTGACTCATTTAACTTCTATTTACTGGGTGTCTATTACGTGCCAAGCACTGAGCAATGCACTGTGAGTCAACAGGATGTAAAAAAGATACAGACTCTGCCAGCCCAGATCTCTAAGCAATGTGAAACAGACACTAATCATTTACTGCAACCCCACCAGAGAAGGGTAAAGTACAAACCGAGAAAGTACCCTGGAAGGAAAAAAGAAATACCATCCTTTGAGAAGACCACTGAGTGGACCCAAGCAGGTGGGTTAAAAACCCTTTCCTGAAGAAACAAGATTTGGGTGGAGGTTGAAAGGACAGTAGTAGGCACTGATGGGGAGATCAGAGAGCTACCAGGAGGGTTTGGGGACAGAAAGAAAGTTTCAGATGAAGGAAACTTCACTGCAGAAGCCTTGAGGTTTTGGTGAGTAGAGAGCAGCATGGGACATGAGAGGAATCTAGAAAAGGTCAGAGATATCCAGAAGGCAATGAGGCACTGGGCAAAGCAATCATGAGACAGGTGGTACAGGTAGGAAGGACAGGTGGTCCTACTCAGGCCATGCAGGACGTTGCCAGCCAAAATACAGATTTTGATCTCTATCCTAGGGTGAAGAATTTTAGAGTCAGTTGGTGATTCCTGATCAGAGTTGCCCCTCTGAAGATCACTCTCCCTACAGAGTGGAAAATCAGTTGGAGGGGCTCTGAAGGAGGCTGGGGCATCAACAGAAGCTCAGGCAAGAGATGCTCATTCCTCAGTGATTAGCAGAGATGAAGAGAAATGGACAGGACTGAGATACTGCAAAAACAAACGTCCATTAACAGGCAAGAGGTAAGAAAAACTTGTCGCATTGTGTGGACATTACTACTCAGCAGTGAAAAGGAATATAGTCAATAATGGGACAGAAACTTAGAGGTGCAGTGAAAGGAAACTGACAAGAAAGGGACACAAGGGAACTCCTAGGGAGGAAATCTAAATCGTGTTGGTAACTACAAGGGCATACAAACTGTTCAAAATTCATCTAACATATGTTTAAATGGCTAAATTTTATTGTATGTAAAGTATATCTCAAAAGGCTTGATTTAAAAAAAAAATCAGTGCATCTCAACTATTAAGAACATAGATTTTGGACTCATGAATTTGACCCCTAGTTCTACCACTGATAAATGTGTCACTCTAGGAAAGTCAATAAAAGGGGGAAGGCAGATGGCTATTCTAAGTTTAGCAAATCACCCATTTGAGCACATTGTCAAATACAAAGGCAAGAGGGCCTCCGTTCAAATTTCATTCATTGCCCCAGTAAGAGCAATAGGTAAAGCAATAAACATTTCTTGAGTGTGTAGGAGTTAGGACAAATTGCGCCAAGATGTACCACTTTGGCAAGGGGATTATTTTGAGCTGAAAACAATCAAAGTCCAAAAGACACAAGAAGAAACTGTGGCCTTTCTCCTAACTGCCTAAAAGAATTTAGATAGAGGATCTGCTTCAGGGAGAGAGTTATGATCATAGATAACGATAGTATAATATGAACTGGCATGGTAGACAAGGAAGAACCTAGTAAGGCCTATTTGATCAAAGTCTTCTCTATGTCCCATTGCTTCTATATGGCCCAGCAAATGTTGGTTTACCAAACATTTAACTCTTTTTTTTTTTAAACCTTCCCACGAATTACTGTCCTTCCCTTTAAAGTCCTAGACCCATACCTCCTTCTCCTTAGTTGAGATACATATATACCTCATTTTGCCTGTCTTTAGAATTTCATGTTTATGTGGACTCCCCATATGTATGTAATTATATTTGATTTTCTCCTATTAATCTGTTACATGTCGATTTGATTCTTAGACCAACCAGAAGAATCTTGAAAGCTAAAGGAAAAGTTTTCCTCCTCAGTTAGTGCTTCCTATTCTTAGGCATGTGGTAGACCCTACAGATGTCTCATTTGGTCCTAATAAATACTCTAAGAGGTGGCCATTGTTCTTCTAGCTTTGAAATGTAGAAATCTACCAGGAAACAGTAGCTTGGCCAAAGTTATTTAGAGAGTGAACATAGAGCCCAAGGTCCTTGCAGGGGTGAGAGAATGCTATCTTAGACCCACCTTAAGTGATCTAGGAGCAAACCTGAGGGTCCTCACGGGAAATTTTCCAAAAGGCAGCACTTACACACAGGTGATCTAATCGATTATTTTAAATGCACACAATAGGAGTGCCTGGGTGGTTCAGTCGGTTGAATATCTGAGTCTTGAATTCGGCTCAGGTTGTGATCTCAGAGTTGTGAGATCAAGCCCCACATCAGGCTCTGTGCTCACTGGGGAGTCTGTTTGAGATTCTTACCCTCTCCTTCCAGCCTTCCCCCTGCTTCCTCTCTCTCTCTCTAAAGTAAATAAATAAATTTTTTTTAAAGAAATCAACTTTAAATGCACACAAATGAACACTTATTATTTTGCTTTTATTGTATTCATCATTAAGGTTACTATGTTAAGTCTATTCAGACTGCTGTAACAAAATATCACAGACTGGGTAACTTATGAACAACATAAATTTACCTCCCCCAGTACTGGAGGCTAGAAATCTGAGATCAGGGGGCCTGCATGGTCAGGTGAGAGCCCTCTTCCAAGTTGCAGACTTTTTCATAGATCCTGACAAGGTGGTGGGGGACAAGGGAGCTCTCTTCAGCATTAATCTCATTCACGACAACTCTGCTCTCACTACCTAACCACTTCCCCAAGACTCCACCTCCTCATACCATCACCAATGGGCTTTGAATAGTGACAGTGGTTTTCTGTTCGTGACAAATTAAATTTCCTTTCTAAAAATAAGTTTTCGTTTTTAAATAAATCAAATTAAAACTATGAAGGAACTGACAGGATGGACACTACTTAGATATCTCAAAATTGTCAAGAGGATTTGAAAACGACTGAAGTTGAGAAAGGCTGAGTCGGCCCAGTAGACAAAGGCTAGGGCCCCAAGATACCAGGAAGACGGGCCAGGGAGACAGAGAGGATGCGGGCTGCGGCTGCGGCAACCTTAGACAGACTGAGAAGAGAGTTTATATTCATGTCAGTGCTACCTTCCATTTGAGTGATGTCATGACAGCTAGGGGCAAAACCTGGGCCTTGGAGAAGGAATAAAAACGGGGAAGGAAAACTGGCAAGAGGGAGAAAAATCAGGGAAAGATAGGAAGAGAGCTAGAGCAAATGATACGGATAGGGTATCTATCAATGCCAGACCAGAAACCAGTGCTATTATTTTTCAACTCTAGCGAGGACAGCTTTGTAGGGAAAGCCAAAACAGCTCAAAGCTTTTCTTAGAATCTCTTTTCCTCTATGAACTAAGGAAAATCCAGCTGTAAAATGATCATTTTCAGAAACAAAAGAATTAAAATAATGAATCTTCTTGTACTTTCAACTTCACTCTGTTACTGTCACAGGTGGCTTTTGGAGATGAGACAAGAGACAATAGAATAATTATTTGTAGAAAAAAAACAACAATGCTCTGCAAATTTAAATCCATTGCCTCTTACATCAGGCATTGTATTTCTTAAGCAAAGTCTTTGCAGAGCACCTGGATGGCATACATGATATATTCTTCTTAAACCCAGGACTGATTTGTTTGTTTGTTTTCCTAGTCTCATATCAAAACTAATCCTTAGGGGATTTTAAAAATGGTTATGGAATTTATTCTATGCCATGTTTTCCTTCCTGTTTCTCTCAGCAGTTCTAGCATGTTCTAACTTAAGATTTGGTCAAATTAACTTCTAAGCAGAGCCCTTAAATTCTACTCTAATGCCTATACCACCATCAGCTCTCAAACACACACTGTCTGTGCCTAGGTTCTCAATAGAGATGTCCTAGAAGGTTCCTATATTCACCTTTGGAATGAAAGTTCTTATACTGCTATAGAAATTCATATATTCACCTAAAGAAGGATCAAGAGGAAGGGAAGTTAAAAAGCCTTTCTAGATCTGCAAATTAGTCTGAAGGATGGAAAGTCAGGAGAGCAGGGATAGAACAATGAGAGGTGGTCAGACGTCACAGTCAGACAAGGACCCTACCGGGAGAAAGAAGCAGATAACCCACACCCTACAGTGAAATCTCCAGGAGAAGAAAAAAGAGTTCACAAACCAGGAAACTGTAGCATCTGGAGAATGATGGTAGTTCTGGAGAATGCTTGATTCAAAATGGACACTGAATGAAGGTTTGCTGATTGAATCAGTAAATATATGAATGATTGCCCAAGCTAGAGGGCCCATGGTAGTCTCAAGAGAGAGAAAGTAGGAGCTGATCACCCAGAAGCTTATCCTTATGCTTCTCCAGTCTCAGTCAAAGATGTGTTGAAGACCAAAGGATACATCAGGTACCTTAGCCCCCTTGTTCAGACCTTTTAGATCAATATGGGACATGGCATCTCTCCTCCTACATTGTACAATAAAGACCATATAATCTCCAAGGACCTTCTAAGATTAAAGAATCTGAAACTCTCTAAGAAGAAGAGAGGTGAGAATGTGACATATGATAACTTCCATAAGAACTTCCATAAATTGGGATGCCTGGGTGGCTCAGGTCATGATCCCAGGGTCCTGGGATCAAGTCCCACATCAGGCTCCCTGCTGAGCAGGGAGCCTGCTTCTCCTTCTGCCTGCTGCTCCCCCTGTTTATGCTCTTTCTCTCTCTGACAAATAAAATGAATAAAATCTTAAAAAAAAAAAAAAAGAACTTCCATAAGTAAAAAATGCCCTAAGAATTGGTCTGGTTATTATCATAGCATCCATTGCTTAATGAAATATTTATTGAGAGGTTACTCCCCACCTTATGGTTGATGCAGGACACATGTTTGGTCCTAAACTGTGGTGTGCAGGCAGAAAAAAACTGGGCGAAGAGCCAGGAAACATGAATCTGAGCCTTGGCTCAGACACTCAGTGACTTTGAGAAAGGGCATTCCAAGTGGAAAATAACTTGTGAGCCATCCCAGAGAGATAAGAAACACCATATGAGTTCAAGAAATTTCAAGAAGCATGGTGTTCAACAAAAGTGTCAGGCAGGCACGGCAAGGTTTTCAGTTAATATGTAGTAAGTGCTCAGGAAATATTTGTTGAATGAATGAATGAAAAGTAAGCAGAAACAGATCACAGAAGACCTCATATTCATTCTATGCTCAAAACCTGGGTTTACCTTGTAGGTAGTAGAGAATCACCAGTGGGAGAGAACTTTACTCAGACTTAAGTTGTAACTGGGTGCTATGCTATACGGAAAATTAATGTAGGGGGAGCAAGAAATGAGACAGAAAGGCTAGCCAAAATAGGCAATGGTCCTAGAACGGGAGAAGAGCAAATGACTTGGAGAAATCAGAGCTAAAAGAGCCTTTGGCAAATGGTTAGATGAGGAGAGTTAAGTCTTAAGAAAACTTAAATCATGGGCTTTTAGGTGATAAGGTGCTTGATGGTAGCATTGATTTTTATAGAAAGTGCATGAAGAACAAATGTAGAAGGGAAACTGATAAGTTTGACTTTACATATGTTAAGTGGAACATCCAGGTGGAAATTAAGCATTTGAATTAATGAACATTAACATAATAAATACAACTTAAATAAACACTTATAGAGACTTTCTCATAAGCCAAGAGGTATGCTAAACTCCCTACATATGTGAATTCATTTAATCCTCACAACAGCCCCAGGCAGTAGGGAAGGAAAGTAAGATACAGAGAGTTTAAGTAATTTCCCAAAGTTCTCTAGCTGGTAAATGGCAGAGTCAGTCTCAAACTCAGAATGTCTGGCTCCAAATTCCACTTTCTCAACCGCTGTGCAATTGGACATGTATTTGCCCTTTAATGAGGGCCCAGAGCCCTCCCTCTATCTCTTCTTATCGAAACAGAACTCAAACATATAATCGAATTAGTCCCCCAACTGCCCTTATCCACAAGGAATATGTTCAAGACGCACCGTGTATGCCTGAAACCATGGGCAGTACCCTGTGTATGCAATGTTTTTTCCTATACATCTATACCTATCATGAAGTCTGTTTTATAAATTAGGCACAGTACGAGATTAACGACAATAACTAATAATAAAATAGAACGGTTAGAACAATATACTATAATAAAGTTATATGAATGTGATCTCTCTCTCTCCTAAAAAATACCTTATTGTACTATACTTACCCTTGTTCTTGAGATGATATAAGATGATAAAATGCCTACATGAGATGAAGGGAAGGGAATGACATAAGCATTGTAACACAGTGTTAAGCTACTACTGACCTTCTGACAATACATGAGAAAGACAATCATCTGCTTCCTGGACCACGGGTAACTGAAACCACATAAAGGAAGTCTGTGGTTAAGGAGGGACTACTGTAAAGGGATGATTTTATTTTTTTAAGCACACAAAATTTGAGAATTCCAACCATCAGACTGAATAGTATTATTGCTGGTGATTTCGCACAGTCAAATCTCAATCTACATTTTAATATACATCTGGTCTCCAAAGCAAACAAGATATGCTATTTTTGTATTCATTTGTCAAGTGATGCTTCTTTATATAATTTATTTGGAGAAAATTAAATAGCATCTGTCATTTGTTAAGTAGAGAAAAGATAAAATCGGTCTTTATATCTATTATAAATATTACAGAACATATTAAAATACATTTCAATAAAATCTTTAATCCTATACCTCTAAAATTGATTTTTTTAGCTTAAAATTACACTTTCTACTTACTTTGTAAAAATAATACAATGATTTTTTTTTTAACTCCTGGGATGGTTCATGAAATTATATATCACTATGAAATGGATTTGAGACTAAAAAGGTCAGAAAGAAAAAAAATTTTATAAATAAATAAAAAATTAAAAAGTCAATAACTACTGCTTGGCACCAAGGTATAATTTCTGCCACTTTAAGACATTTCAGAACCAAGAGACCTCCATGAACAACTACAATAAGAAAAAAAAAAAAATCTGAGACCTTTTCCATTCCAAGGTTTGTGGTGGAGGGTTCACTTTGGCTTGAATCCCTTATGGCACGACTAAGCACCACAGGCATACCACTTGCAACTTGGTGGACATGCTCACCTGACGAGCTTCTCTGTTAGAAGCTCCATGCTATTTTCATTTGGCTTTAATCCTTGACAGATCAAGACATAGCTCTCTTTGAAAAGCCAGGTTTAATAGAATGCACACAAGACACATTCTCAGAAATGGAAGAAAACACTTCCTTTCCTAGTTACCTAAGACTCTCGAACTTACTGTAACTTCAGCAGGGGCCAAAAGAAAGGTCTTGAACTTTGGTCCTTCCCTTTGTTTCCATGAATTTTCTCCCTCTTTCTGGCTATGGTAGAAGTTTTGTTTGTTTTTTTTTTTCTCCCTGAGATTCAGCCCTCAAAGAAAAGCAGAACTCATCCAGGGTAATGGAGTGATCTGAAGAGCTCATTTGTGACGACTGAACACTTGAAACATGGCTACAGTGACCAAGAAATTAAACTTTCAGTTGCATTTGATTTCAATTTATTTAACTTTAAAACTTAAACTGAATTTAGTTGTTGATGAATTTCTGAGTATGTCTGGAACAACTTGGGTTGTTCAATCTATTTTTTTTCAACTGTGAATCATTTGAAATCTAAATGCACAACAAGTATTTTCAATGAAAATTCAGTCTCCAAAATGAGATGTACTCTAGGGGTTAAATATACTCTAGATTTTGAAGGTTTAGTACAAAAAATGTAAAAGGTCTCATTAATAACTTTTTCATTATTAATTTTTTATGTTGATTACATATTGAAATGATAATATTTTGGTTATGATGGGCTCAATAATTTATATTATAAAAATAATTTCACACTTCTTTTACTTTTTAATGTGGCTACAAGAACATTTTTAAATTATTTATTTATTTTAGAGAGAGAAGCATGAGCAGGAGGGACAGAGGGAGAGGGAGAGAGAATCTCAAGCAGACTCCCCACTAAGTGTGGTACCTGACATGGGGCTAATCCCAGAACCCTGAGATCATGATCTGAGCTGAAACCAAGAGTCAGACATGTAACCCACTGCACTACCCAGGCACCCGTACTGGAACATTTTAAATTATATGTGTGGTTCACATTATTTCTACCCACTGGTGCTAGTCTACAGCATGGGCTTTGGTGTCAGAGAGAATCAGCTCTCCTCATTTGCTGATCATGTGACCTTAAGCAAGCTACTTAACGTCTTCAAGCCCGTGTTCACTCATCTGTAAACTGGGGGACATTTTACTCTTTTCTGAATAGGCCTGTAGTGAATCTAACATGAGGCAGTGAACAAAAACTTACCAGAGAGCCTGGCTCATAGCAAAATATTCTGTAAATGTTCACTGTTACTATTGTTGTTGTCATTTTTCGCCGACTATCATCCAAATGTTTAGCCAAAGAGTACATCAAAATAATAAATGTTAGTCACCTATGGTTGACTAGTATCTCATCAACAGATAAAGTAACCTCATTTTCCAAAATAAAAAGAGGGACTTAAGGTCAGATATAGGAGTTCTTTTCACATTTTTAGTTTTTTTCACATGAAAAATCTTATTTTTTTAGTTTATGGAATGCTTTTATTTAAAACAGTAAAAGTGCTTGAAACCCAGACTTCCCTAGAAAATCCAGGGCATGAGGTTTATGTGTAAAAAATATCAATGCACAATATCTCAAAAGCCCAAACTCAGCAGTCCTCCATTTAGATTCAGTTTTGAAGGCTAACGTTTTATTTACATCCATTTCTTTTTTGGCCAGGATTAAAAAGACCAAATAAATAATCTGGATATACATTAGGAACTTCTGCTTCCAGAAAGATGGAGACGTGCTTTTCCTTATTCTTCCTGCTAAGTAAAACTAAAAACTCTGGATCTTATATATAAAACAAACTCTGAGAGTTTTCAGAGTAAGATTCTGAAAGTTTTCAGAGTAAGACTCTGAAAGGTAGAAAGAAGAAGGACCACTAGGAATCTTGCTAAGATGCATAGTCAAACAACTGAAAACTAAAGACAAAAAAATCTTAAAAGCAGAAAGAAAGAAATGACACTTTACCTATAGGGGAAATAATGATTCTAGTAATAGCAAATTGCTCATCAGAAATCATGGCAGTCAAGGAAGTAGCCCAACATCCTTCTGCCAACCCAGAATTCTGTATCCAGTTCAAAATAAAAAAGAAAACAGGAGTGGCTACATTAATATCATATAAAGTAAACTTCAGAGCAAGGAAAATTATCAGAGATGAAGACATTATTACATAATTATAAAAAGAGTCAATCCACCAAGAAGACATAATTACCCTAAATGCGTATGCAACAGAGTGACCAGATGAATGAAGCAAAACCTGATAGAACTGGAAGAATAGGCAAATCCAGAATTATAGCTGCAGACTTCAATACCCTGTTCTCTGAACAACTAATGGAACAACTAGGCACAAAATCATCAAGGATACAGAAGAACGCAGTAACACTATTATCCAACAGAAACCAATTGACATTTATAGACTAATCCATCCAATAATAGCAGAGCACATGCATAGAGCATATACTCAAAGAGGCCATATCCTGAGTCATAAAACCTACCTTGACAAATGTAAAAGAATTGAAATTCACAGTGTGTTCTTGAACCACATGCAGTCAAATTAGAAACCAATAACAGAAAGATAACGGGAAAATCTCCAAACACTTGGGAACCAAACAATACATTTCCAAAGACCCTATGGGTCATAAGGAAGTTTCAAGGGAAATGGTTTTAAAATACATTCAACTGAATGAAATGAAAATTCACTATATCAAAATTTGTGGAAGACAGTCAATGCAGTGCTAAGGGGAAATCTGTAGCACTTATAGTAACATTAATAAAAATGAAAAGTCTCAAATCAACCACCTAACTTCCCACCTTGAGACATTTTTTTTTAAAGCAAAATAAACCCAAAGAAAGCAGAAGAAGGAAATAACAAAGAAAAGAACAGGAGTCAATAAAAATGAAAACAAAAATAGAAAAAAAAAATTCCCTGGAATAAAACGCTGACTCCTTTAAAAGATCAACCGACAAAACTCTAGCAATGCTGATGAAGAATAAAATGAGAAGGAAAAAAAAAAAACCAAATTACCAATATCAGGAATGAAATGGGATATTGCTACAGACACTGTGGACATCAAAGTAATAACAGAATGTTGCAAACAATTCTACATACACAAATTTGAGGACCTAGATGAGACGGACCAATCCTACAAAAAGCACACACTACCACAATTCATCCAGTATGAAATCAATCATTTCATTAGCCCTGTAACTATTAAAGAAATTGTATTTATAATTTTAAAACTGCTGAAAAGAAATCTCCAAACTCAGATGGTTTCACTGGAGAATTCTATCAAACATTTAAAGAAAAATTAACACCAAGTCACACAATCTCCTCAAAAAAAAAAAAAAAAGAATAGCGGACGAAAGAATAAATCAATCCTTCATTCATTTAACTTGTCCTCTTTGCTCCACTGCAGCTACCTCCTTTTACTTCTGGAACATACGAGCCACCTTCCCCACTTAGAAGAACAAATCGCCTGGGTGGCTCAGTGGGTTGAGGCCTCTGCCCAGGGTCCTGGGATCGAGCCCCGTGTCGCCGGGCTCTCTGCTCAGCAGGGAGCCTGCCTCTCTGCCTGCTTGCAATCTCTTGTTTGTTGAATAAATAAATAAAATCTTAAAAAAAAAAAATAAGAAAAAGAAGAACCAATCCATGCTGCTGCCTTAGCTCAGGGTGCTTCTCCATCGTGTTCCCTTTCATGCTCCCAGATTCATGCCCATTCACCCCCGATATCTCAGCTCATATAGCTCATGTGTTATTTCCTCAGGGAAGTCCAGAGTGGGGGGAGGGTCCTGCCTTATGCACACACAGCCCCTGCTATGTTTTCTCTCTGTGGCACTTACTGCAAATTTTGTTCACTATTTGCAATGAATTATCTAAGATCTCCAAGGCTTCTTCAACTAGTCTAGGCTGTACACTATAAACTGTATGAGGACAGGATACCAGACTCCTTCATTCACTCTCTATCTATGGCTTGGAGCCCAGTCCCTGGGATCCCGACAGCAGCAGGCCAGTATTTATTAAGCAAATATTCAGTCAAGGTCCTGCAGAGAAACAGAACCAATAGGATGTGTGTGCACAGACAGACAGACAGACACACACATACTCTTACCTATCTAGGGTGCGGGTGGGGGGGGTTGATAAGGAATTGGCACAGGTGATCAGGAAGACTGATAAATCCCAAGATCTGCAGAGTGAGTCAGCAAGCTGGAGACCCAGGAAAGCCAATGGTACAGTTCTAGTGCAAGTCAGAAGGCCAGCAGACCCAATACCTGGATAGAGCGGATGTTTAGTTCAAGTCTGAAGGCAGAACAAAGCCAATGTCCCAATCCAAAGGCAGTGAGGCAGGCAGAACTCTTTCTTCTTCAAAGGGTCAGCCTTTTTGTTCTATTCAGGCCTTTAGCAGATTGGATGAGGCCCACTGACATTAAGACAGATAAACTGACTGGTCTACCAATTTAAATGTTAATTTCATCGAAAATAAAAACATCTCTCACAGAAACATCCAGAATAATGTTTGACCAACTATCTGGGCACCCTGTGGCCCAGTTAAGTTGACATACAATTAGCTATCACATTGAGTTAATAATAACTGAATAATGGGGAAAACAAAAAAGGTTTGTTTGTGCAATTAATCTATCAAGTGTCATAGATTATCGCCAAAGTTTACTTTTTTCTTTTGGCTGAAAAGTATACAGCATCTAATTCATCAGTGAACTCAGTCATTAGCAGGGCTGGGGTCTTGAAAGATAACTATCACTAAGTATTTATCTTTGTGTCTATTAGCTCTATCCTTCCAACAACTTTGTAAGGCTAAGAAAGGTTATATAACATGTCCAAGACCACACAGCCAGATATTGGCAAAGATATGACCGGGGTGTCTGAGTGCCTCAGTCAGTTAAGTGTCTGCCTTTGGCTCAGGTCATGATGCCAGGGTGCTGGGATCGAGCCCCAAGTTGGGCTCCCTGATCAACGGGGGGAGTCTTCTTCTCCCCCTCCCTCTGCTGCTCTCCCTGCTTGTGCTCTAATAAAACAAAATAAAATAAAATGACAGAAACCTAAATTTGTCTACATAGCTCAAAATTTTATGACTCATAAGAGCTTCCCATTAAGAAAACACAAACAATACAATTTCCCAAAACTGAACAACAATGTGTAGCTCAGCCATTTTTTGAGCAAGTTATTTAACCTTCTCAGGATCCAGTTTCCTCATGTGTTAGAAAAGAGTAAAAGCACCCCCCCTTTAAGGAGTTGATGGAGGATTAATGGAGCTGTAGAATTTAGCATGCTACCTAGACATCACAGATGCTCAGTAAATGTTAACTTGTAATATCTATCGCTTGATTTCCATTGGCTCTTACTGGCATCTGCTCTTGCAGGCTTCCAAACTCCTGTAAAATCCTTTGGGAATATTTCTGCTCACATGTGTTCAAAATTCAGTCCACTAGCCACAACTGCCTCATGGCACCTGCAGTCCTCTTCCTCTCCATCATGGATGGCCCCCAACACACCACGTCGCTATACACACGTACACATATTCCACCCTTCATAAAACAGTCCCTTATGCTCCAGGAGTCCCCCAGGACCTGACCAGGGATCATTATCTGACCTTTTCCCTTTCTTCCTCCTCTGAGCAGACCCTTTCAACCCAAGCAACCCTTGGAGGGTGAGGAGCAAGGAGAAAGGGGCAGGGCTTGCTTCTCGAGGAAGACTGTCTCTTCTCCACAGTATATTCTTGTCCTAGATTAACTGACCATGCAAGCATGGGTTTATTTCTGGGCTTTATATTTTATTCCATTAATCTATGTGTTTATTTTTGTGCCAAAATTGTGTGTATTTTAAATTTGAAAAAAAAATTGTGGGAACCTAGCCTCTTATCTTTGGGGGAAAAATTCCAAATTGGCTTCTCCTGAGTTGATCTTGATAAATGTTCTGCTTTCCATACATGGCAGGGCAGGTGCTGGGGCCTGTTTTTCCAGCCATGGTGACAGATTTGCAATGGTTATCCACATCCTATCACCTGTTCCAAGGGCAGGTCAAGAGAACATTTTTTACTATGACTGGCCAGGTTAGAGTACAGGTTGAGACCAGGAAGCAACGGAAAACAGACCGAACAATAAGGAGGTTGAACCTTTGGCCTTTCTCAACAGGGCCCTTGGACTCAGACTTTCACCTCTACCATATGGCCACACTGCGTGTGGTTGGCAGTCAATTCAAACACAATGACCAAAACTTCAGGTTAACCAATTGAGTGTCCTCATTGCTGCTTTGTTCCAATGGATTTCAAAACAATTTCAATTCTTATACTCATCTCAATGTGAAAATAAGAATTTATCTCTTAACAACTATCCATGAAAAATAAAACAACAGCTATATTTAAGGGAAAGCATTGCTGGCAGATTGGGCTCCCTAGAAAACAGAATCAGAGATGGAGAATTACATGCAAGAGGTTTATTGGGGAATGATCTAGGTATCAACACCTGTGTGGAAACAAAGCGGTCCACTGAGGCAAAAGGATAAACTGAGCTGCAGGGCAGTCACAGCAAAGACCTCAACTGATCCCTTTGGGAGTTCTGGAGCCGGGATGGCCCTGGAGAGATATCCCGAAATAAGGCAAGGAGGCTGAAACTTTCTACCCCCACATTAGCCAGTCATGGGATTTTGACTGCTCCTAGGAAATGGTAATGATCTTGAACTATGTGGCTTTTCTTCACCAGCACTGGGGGAGTAGGAGGACACAGGTGTGAGCTGTCAGCCAGTCACTCTCCAGCTGCAGTCCTGAAGTGGGCATCTGGGCAGCATACCCCAGTGCCGACCACAATGAGAATTACATATCTTTTCACTCTCTCCATGGAAATGTCTATGTACACCTAGCAGACAATAAAGACGACTTCCTAAACGAAGAGTGGACCATTAAAAAAAGAAAGAAAAAAAAATCATGAACCATGGAACTTTTTACCAGAGGTAAGATATCATGTAACTGCTAAGACAGTGCAGCATCTTAAACTCAGCACAAAACTGATCCCAGCTTCCCCTCTGCCCCAAATTAAAAACAGCTCAGCCCTGAATCTCATGCAAGTTACCCACTGCCTCCGCTCCTACCCAGCCCTCAACAGTACTTTCACAAATGCTAATGACTGCA